CCCCCCAACATCAGGCAGGCCACCTCCCTTCAACCTGCCCCCCAACATCAGACAGGACACCTCCCTTCAACCTGCCCCCCAACATCAGACAGGCCACCTCCCTTCCTCACTTCAAATCCCTGCTAAGAACTCATCTGTTCTCTCAGACATTTCACACGGTGTAAATTGATCTAGTGTTTTTTAATCTGTGACTTTGTGTTTTAAATGCTTTGTATTAATTCTTCAGTTATTATTATTAGTGTTTTGTATATATATATATATATATTTTTTTTTTTTCTATTTAATTCACTCATTGATTGTTGTTGTTGTTAAACACTTTGATAACAGTTTCAGTTTTAAATGTGCTCTATAAATAAAGTTGACTTGACACTCCTTCTCAAATAACGCTCTCCAAGTACCGGTAGTTGCAACCCAGATAAATACCACCTTCATGGTTTTCTTTTTGTTTATTTTTATTTTAATTTCATCTAGGTAAAGCCTTTTTTCCTTCAGTTTATTCAAGCTTTTCAAGCTTTTTTCCTTGTTTAGATGCACATGAAGGTAATAGATCTGTGTGTTCTGGGTGGGACTGAGTCTCCTATCTGTACCAGCTCATTACAGCAGATCTATTTTTAGTCTACCGGTAATGTGATTGAAACGGACTCTCGAGGGGAGTGAAAGCACAGAGGTGTATGACTGAAAGGAGGCTTAAGGCTCAAGCTTTGACTCCAGTCTGTAACAGGAATCAGACCGTGGTGCTGATGCGAGGCAGTGTTGCTCAGATCATTGCTGGTCCTCAACAGGATCATGTTCAGGCTTTTACTTCCACTCCGGCAGCCTCAATTTCACACAAGTGCATGTTTCATAGCACCCGTCAGCTCAAAGAAACATGCACACACACGCCCAATAATAGACAAAAAATGTGTCAGCTGACATGAAAACTCAGTGTCATATGGTGCAACATGTGAGCAGCTCTGTTCTTTACCAAACTTTTAAAGACAATGTAGTGAAAATAGATTGTAGCTTCTTACGTTCAGTCAGTGTCTCTTTCAGGAAAATGAAGTTATTTCAGTCAGGCACTTTATTTCAATCTGTTTTCAGCTCAGCGTGAGTCTCTTACCTGCTTTGGAAGGCCACTGTTGCTGCTCCAAAATAGATTGGCTCCACTGCTTCATTTCACTGTTTCTAACACAAACTTGCATGTTTTAATATGACTTTGTACTTTTATCTGTAGTCTTTGATTAAGCACGTTTTTCCATCATGTTTGCTTAAAACCTTAGCAATATCTGTTGAAGTCAACCCTGTTTGTTAGTCAAATATCTTGCAGATCACCGTGTGGATTTATTGAACATTTCAGAATCAACAAATAAACATCTATAGCTGATCAACTTCTGAAGTCAGCCCGATTCCAGATGGCTGATACAGTTGATTAGAATTTGCCAACAGACAAATGGTTGTAACTCAGTCAGTTTAATAGATATAGAGTGTACACTTGATTTGGGAGTAGCTGTCATTTACAACACATGCTGTCATGAGGTTAACATCTGATGGTATTGCATGTGATTGTGCACAACTTATTATCAGTGTTTGATTACCTCTGTCATTTCTCAATGCAAGATGGTCATAAACTTTGATGTGAAAGTTGTATTCATTCAAGTGATGTCAGGCTTTTATTGTCCCCTGACGTGGAGGGAAGGGGGCGTATTGGGAATGGCCTCCATCCGTCAGTCTGTCTGTGCATGTTGTGAGCATGATACTGTAAGTTACGGACTTCTATTGTGGTGTGTAACTGCATCTAAGCATAAGAAAGTTTAGTTTCCAAAGTTGGACTGCCACATCAAAATTTAAGATGTCTGAAAACATACCACCATATTTGTAAACCAACCACCTCCCAAGAGGGAGTGGTGGTGCAGAGGTTAGAGAAGGTGGGCCTGTGATCAGAAGATTGCCGGTTCAACTCCCGGTATTGACAACATCAAAATGTGGGTGGGAAAGGTGAAGCACCCACACCTGCCTCCACCTTCATTTCCCCACTCTGGGCCCTTGAGCAAGGCCCTTAACCCCCACCATCTGCTCCCCCGGGCACACTAGATGGCAGCTGTCAGCTCCACACAAAGGGCCGTGGTGGCTCGGTGGTCTGTGGTTATGACAGGAAGGACATCTGGCGTAAAAAATTATTGACAAGTCTTCGTGCGACTTAAGCCCCCAGTATACTCCCGCGTCCGTCCGCGCGGAAGTACGCGGAGGGTTGAGACTTCATACTCGAGCGTCCACCCTGAGTGTCTGCAGAGCAGCTCCGCAGACAAGAGGCGTTTACCTTCGGGACATATTGAGGTCACCGATTGGTCATTTGCTGACACACCTACTGGATTGATTGACAGGTCAAAAAAAGAGAGCTGGCAGCCCCAGCCGCAGCAGTGTTCTGTGTTTATATGTTGTTAATAAAAAGTTGTAAAAAAAAAACAAAAAAACAGGGAACGCTGTTCCTGCAGCCCACACATCAGACCAGTCCACCAGGAAATCTCCAGACCCTCCCGCAGCCACGCTGGACCTGAGTTTAATTTGCTCGTGACAAATTCCTCCATTTGTCACCATTTCAGTCATGGCATCAACGGAGGAGGAAGAGATCACTGCCTCTTGGCAAAAAAACAAAAGAAAAGGTCAGATCAGAGATGAAGAAGGGGAATATAAAACATTGGTGTCGCATACAAAACAGTCCGTCGCCGGGCAGTTTATTGTGTGACACCGCGTACGTGGTCGTAAAAATTGAGCTATGCGCGGACATGCCCTGCAGAGGTACGCTCGTACTTCTGGACGTACGTGGGAGTATATTGTGGGCTTAAGTTCACTGTGGCGACCCCTGACAAAGGGAACAGCCGAAAAAACAAACAAAAAGCACCTAAAGTAGGTGAGAGGAAACTGTGCTTTATTATTTTCATATTGGTTTAAGTCATAGTTTCTTCAAATGACTAATGAAATGAATGCATAATTTATGGTGGCCATGGCCACCATTGGTCACCCCCTGGCTGCCTGGTGGTGAGTAAAGTTGCTCCCTCCACTCACAAGGATGCATCACTCTGCGCTGCCTCAGACAAGCAAACAAAAACCTACCTCTGGTCTTCTCCACAGCGTAACTACTACCCACTTGAAAATCTTTCACCAAAAAAAAAAAAAGAAACAATGTTTACTTGTATTTCCTATTCAATTCTAGTCCAAAAAAAAAACCCCACTCAACTCAAAACTACTACTTTTAACCAGTTTGACAAGTCTGTCAACAAGGAAGAGGGCCGGCAATGGAGGAGGGGGCGTACCAAAGAGACCATCTTATCACAAGCAGAACTGGTTTGTTCCACTTTGGAGTAAGCTGTTGGTGGAAGAATCAGTTTTGTTGTGTGTTTCCTTGACTGATGAAGCCTTCTGGATCAAACGTGAAACGTTTCAGCATAAAAAAAGAAACTGTCCAGATGACCTGAGTGAAAAATGTTGGATTGTATACCTGGATTATTGAGCATGGACTTGCGATTTTGACATCTTTGAATGGATGATGGTGTGTTTCACATTCATCATGACTGTAGAGGATCTTTGAAAGGATTAGAATTTATGTAGTGAGGGGCGTAAAATATATGTTTGCACTGGATTTTAGGCCACTCTTAAACATGTTATTTTTCATTGCATTAAATAACTCATGTTGCCTCTGCTGGATCAGGCACTCACAATGCTGTGGCTGGAACCACAACATGTATAAAACATGTGTGATAGTGTAAGAATGTGCATCCTTACTTGTAAAATACATATATAACAAATCTAAAGCTTTGAAATAACACCAAGTCTTCAAGGATAAGAGGAAGTTTGCTGTGTTCCTGTCATTGTTGTGATGAACCCTACATCCAGCCAACAAGTCCAGAGTGGTTTCACCTTGGCTTACCCCCAATACCCACCTCCCCATCTACCTCCCAACCTCCCCCCCATCTACCTCCCCATCTACCTCCCATCTACCACAGTAGAGGAGAAAGACCAAATATAATCACAGGAAATGGGTGAAATTAGTTTTGGAGAGTCACGGCCAGTGCCTCCATGAGCAGGATGTGAGGAGGTGATATGTGCTGTTCAGGAAGAAAAGCTGAGCCCTTGATGGTCTTTTTATCCAGCCTCAACACCCCTTGCCTGCCCCCACCCACCCCCCCTGCCTGAGTCAGCTGGTGTTCCTCACCATAAAGTAACACTTTTCATTCCCTCATTCTTTGTCGTCCACCTGTCTGCTTACCACCTGCATCCCTCAGCTCTCAGATATGTAACAACACCTCAGAGTACCTTTAAGTAATTCTGTGCGGCCACTTTCCTCTCATTACTGGGGAACATAGCCAGCAGAAACATCCCCCCAACCCCCACTGCCCCGTTCTTACAAAACTTTAAGATGCAACGGGAATTATGATGCTTTTTTATTCATATACTCCTATTTCATTGATAGCACAACAGTAGCCTTGCTATTTATTTATTATTCTGGTTGTGAGAGACCAGACTTTACGATTGACAGCATGCAGCCTATGACCTCTGACCTCATTCTGCTCCCCATCCAGGAAAACTGGATGTGAGCGACTGGATGAGCTCACTGCACACCATCACAACAAACTGATTACACATAATTTCCTTTTCTTGCTCCTCTGCAGACTTTGGAGGCAGTGCTGAACTTCAAGTACTCTGGGGGAACGGGCAAAGTGGAGGGCTACTACAGAGAGCTGACCCTGGGGGTCCATGTGGATGTGGAGCCTTCAGTGTTTTTTACCAGAGTCAGCACTCTCCCTGCTACCAGGTAACCCAAATCTCAGATGGATTTTCTTTGTTGTCACATGACTGAAACTAGAAAGGCACTATGTAAGTACAGTCCAATTACCATTTACTATCTAGAAACCAGAACCAGTTTGTGGTCAATGTCTGGACACTTGAACTGATACTGCAACCAGCAGCTTGTCCAGGGTGTGTTGATATTTGCTGACTCGGCATTTTCCCTTGTTTTTCTGTTTAAACTTTCTTCTGTACGTTTTTTTTTTTTTTGTAATCAACCTACTTCCACACTCTTTGCACTGTCTTAATCATAAAAAACAAAATAAAATAAAAAACAGAAAACAACATTCAGCTCACTCAAGAATTGGGCACTATGAGTTTTTAGGTTTCATATTTTTTAAGCTTTTCTAAAATTTAAAATTTTATTCTAAATAAAATTACTTACAGAAAAACACTAAGACGTAAAATTGAATCTGCTTCAGCAAAGTTTCTCACATTTTGTCTTCCTATGCCATTTTTAGCATTTTGCTAGTCTAGCCACTTTTAGCTTATAGCTAGCTTTTATTTGTTTCAGCTATTTTTTAGCTAGCCTTTAGCAATTTTTAGCTTGAAACATTTGTTTTTTAATGTATACTCTATATATTTACATTCTATTAAAAATAAATATTTATTTCAAAAGATGTATCTATATGTGACTATATAATTAGGGTTGAACTGAGTATTTTCAAACCTTTAATTTGATTAAAAAGATGACTTCTAAAATTGTTCTGGTAATTGTTCTTGTACCCTATCATGAACAATAATTCCTGTCTTGTTTTTATTTTTATTTTATCTTTAAAACTTGGTGAGGTTTCATTTAGCCATCGCAGAAGCACCTGATCATAGTATAATAATATATATATATATATAAAACAGCTGTTATGATAGTAACTGGTAAACCATATCAGTTTTAACACTTTCCTCCTTCCTCCCTGAGGCTATCAAACTTTTCATCTCTTCCCCCTTTCTACATATAGGACACTAAAAATTAATCATGCACTACAATAAACACTTTAATGTTTCCGTCTGCACCTGACCTGTTCTAGATCTTTGTTGGTATTTTTATAATCTCTGCTACTTGTATATTCTCTATTATTATTATTATTATTATTCTCTGTTATTGTTTACATATCTTCTGTGATTCCTTCCAGATGTTCCTTTGTATTAAAACTCTGGCACAACAATTTCCTGCAGTAGCAATAAAGTTTTATCTTATCGTACTTTGTACTGGATGCAAGTTACAAAAGCTTCACCATGTTCGTCAAGTTTAATGGTTTTCTTGATTTGGTGGCTGTTTCTCTTAAAACACAAAAAATGTGGAAATGAAGAGAACTGGTTTAGACTCCAAACTTTTGAAAGAAAAGTGGGATTGTTAAAAAATTGCCAAATTAGTCGATGGTAAAAATAAAGTAGTTATGTAGTATATCTGTATATTTAACAGTGCACTGCATTTATTGATAGATCAATGTAAATGACTGAGGACCAAGGTCAATAGGTAAATCTATCAGAAGACCAGATTACGACTCTTGGAAGGAGAATACAGAGACTGAAGGGTTTTGCAGTTTGCCATATATTTATAGTGAAAAGAGTTTTATACAGTCAAACAATATTTACATTAAACTGTGAAATTTATTCAAATGGCCATTTGAGAATTAAAGCGTGCACGAGGTTAAAAAATAATAAACAGCAAAAACAATTATTCATCAACAATATCTAAAAAAGTTAAATCTGGTCCTCTGGACATTCAAAAAAACAAAACAAAGCAAATCAACAAAAAAATGTAGAAACGTTTCGTCTCTCATCCGAGAGACTTCCTCAGTCTGAGGAGCTGTTTTCAGCTCAGTCTCTTAAATAGCACCGTCTCAGAGTGGATCAACCAGTTTGCTGCTGACAACCAAAACCAGCTGATCACATGCTCAAGAAGGACCATCAGCATAACAATGACCATGTGAGCAGCTGGTTTTGGTTGTCAGCAGCAAAACTGGTTGATCCACTCTGAG